AAATATGTATATACCTATTACGAGACAGTGTTGTTAATATTATGATAAATATTAAATTGTTTGATTGTTCTCCATCATAGGCGTCAAATTCAAAGGCATTCGTTTTAGTGTTATAAGATGTGATTTTAAATGGTTAAATAAACGTTAATACCATAATAAGAATATATTATATTGATCGCCTATTTATTTTATCAGCGACGAAGTTAATGCTCTAAAAACTTAAATTGTTATATAGACATAATAAGTACACACACAATAGATGCACATTAATTAACCACAAAATTATGATAATAATAAACCTACTATTGACATACGAGAACGCGATTATATAGTGTGCGTACAAAATCTAGATAGGTTATGGTGTTTTGTTATAGACTATGTTGGAATATCGGAGTATTAGCTATTTTAATATTAACTACAATGCTGCAATGCCTGTAACTATATATAAAAATAAGTAATGAGTATTTCCGTTAATAAAGCAGTAAATCACATCAAAAAAATATGAATACCAGTTGTTTATTTCATCGGTTAGTTGATTATTATTTTTTCATTGTCAGATCCAATAAAACAAATGATGAGTGTTATTTCATGCCATATAAATCAATCAACCAATTTATAAGTTAATGACATCATTAAAACCGACAAAAAAAAACAATAGCCATTAGGTGTAATTTATATTTATTGTATACCTACCGTGGTTGTTTAAAATTTAAACATATTTTAGCTGCTAATGTCTTAGATAAAAATTAACAACTAATAGGAAACAGAGATTTTCATTCGAGCTAGACTTTCAAAATCCATTAATTCATTAATTATTCTAATCCTTAGATTTCTTAAAATATATATATATATATATATATAACAAACAAATTAAATCCAACCACAAACATTGTAATAATATAACAAAGTATTTTAATCTCCAAATGACAAGTATAATCTCACGAGAGTCGTAATAACGCAATTTTAAAAACACTTTCAAAAAACTAAATACTGGTATCGTCTATAAATTATATACCTACCTAATTGTTGATATTTCATGATAATTTATCTATGTGTCGAACTACTCTAATAGAATAGATGTTTTGGAAAAAAATAATCACCGTGACTACGATGTAGATGTGGTTTGTGCATTTACAAATAAAATATTGGATAGATATACAGACTACGGAAACGACAAAAATAACGATGTGGTGTACCATAAAATATTACTATTGGATCGAAAACGGCAAAAAAAAACTGTTAATAATAATATTCGGGACTCACGATAGTAATTGAACAACAAAAAAGTAGACATGTTTCGTAGTATGTCTTGTTTTTTTACTGAACTACTGCATTGTCTTATTGATATACTAGCTTATATTATTGAACTTAAACCAATCATTAGGATTAAGAAAATGTTAGGCACCTGTATAATATTACATATGTTATTATGTTAATATTTTAACTCCAAGAACGAATAGGTACAATAGACCTGCTCCACAGTTGAATATATTTTACTGATTCCAATACATACTCACAACAGGCATAGTACCTATAGGGTACTGCGTCAGAGTTGACTAACCAACATTTGACTGGCTCACACAGGCGTAGGTATAGTAGTTACTTACTGATTAAAATGTAAGCCAATACTGCACCCATTTTCGGCCTGGCATGTAAAAGACTTCGATCTCACAATTTTCCTCTAAGGCCTTTATTATTTTCTCAGCGTGCTATGTGTGATGGGATACTATATATCTTTCTCCTCTTCCTCCCGCCCGCCACCAAACTACATTTTAACGAGTTATATTATTTTTTATTGTTATTTAAATAAATAAGCCTCGGCGTCTACGGCCATTGGCATACAAGGAGTTCAAGATTAAAAAGTTTTAAGAATACAGTATTTACATATTATATAAACAAGAATAGATTATAAACTATTTATAAGAATGGTTTTAGTTAAAAAGGTCATCATGTGACTTATGATGTCTGGATGGTGAGCTTCCGACATGATATTTGATACCCCAGCTTCTCGTTTGTTGGTTTCATGAGTTATATATTGTAAGTTAATCATATTGGTATATGTCAGAAATCAAAGTTAACTAAATGATTTGTTTGTAATAAATAAAAATAAAAATCTTGTGACCGTGCAGTACGAGACGCTTTTTCGACCCGGCTTCGTGAGGGTTCTGCTTAAATAACAAAAAAAAATTAAGGGCGACAAGGACTGCATAAATCAGTGACGTTATTACCAGGAATGTTAGGTGTGTAACTCACAGGAACCCTCCGGTTTTGAGAAGCCCCGACTCCAGATATCTCTTATATGATCTTCAGTAACAGCTGAATTGGATATTTGGATAAAAAGAAAATTATTGATGACTGCTGTCGTATAAACAAGTATAGTTAATCTGTATGTTAGATTTTATAAAAATATATATATATATATAGCTAATAATAATAATTATCAACTATGACATGTGAGAAAACGATGATTTTTTGAGTCATATAAAATCGACTGTTGTATTAGCAGGTAAGGGCTCTCGTCTGGAAATGTTCTAATGGGCTCCTTGTTATCAAATCGTGCCACTGGCACAGATGCTAAAAATCAATAGGTAACACGTATAGGTACTTACTACTGGTTTTACCCTGATAGTCTGTGATACTGACACAATATTCATAAACTTCGAGCCTCAAAAATATTGTTAACCATAGTCCATAAGTCATAACTAGCCCGTAACAAACTTGTGAGCATTGAAAAAATACTGAGAAACTACACCTATAGGTGCATATTGTATTTAAATGAAAAAATATAAATGTCATCTATAAGTACAATTCATGGAGTTGTGTGCGTGAACAACAATCCGCTGCGTGCGAGTGATGTAACACTAACCTATAAACTGTTTTTAAAACGACTATTAATTAAATATGCAGTTGAATTTTTAGCAAATATTCACTACGACTTCACTTTGCGTCTACTTTCAGGAAAAATCCGTCCCGGAGTTACGAAACGTTATGAATCGTACATGTTTACATACCTGTCAAAATGACCCCGATTCCCAAGAGTTAGTGAACCCTGGTCGCTAAGGACTGAAGAAATATGTATTTTCTCTGTTAAACACTTTTACTTACGCTTTCGAAAAAATATTATTTTAGATTCTGAGCGGAGCGATGAATGTATTGATTTTACCATGATGTGTTTTTTTTTTTTTTTTTTT